ACGATTCCATAGGTCAATGATCGTGGAAACGCTGTCAATGTTAATAATCTTTTAGTTTGCTTGAATTTTCCTTTTGCCCATTTGGAGCATTTCGCCGTTTATGCTTATCGATTTAATCGACTATTCTATCGATTACTGTATTACTTGTGCGTTTCTAGTGTTTTGACGTCCACTAACCGATCTATATAATATTATATTTACAGTTTATTATTGCCATTATTATTATTACTATTTAACATTATTATTACTATTATTTATTATTATTATTATTATTATTATTATTATTATTATTATTATTATTATTATTATTATTATTACTATCATTATTATTATTTCGGCTGCACGTTTTTCATTAAATTCCAAGTTCTCTCGTCCAAAAACCTCGGCATTCCTGTTGTTATTGAAGTTGTTAATTTTGCTTGTGCCTCGAGGTTGTTAGGTGGAAACTTTTCCGGCCAACGTGGCCAGCTTTTATTCAGGCCTTTGAAAACGACGAGTCCGTCGAAACGTTGGCCAGAATAAAAGTTTTACAACTTCAAGAATTACTATTATTTTTTATCGTTGCTCGCTTTTTCGAACTTTTCAATTTTTTTGTAAGTGTTCTGAAATGTTTCAAAAGCAAACTTATTGACAAACTCCTTGATTTAAGAGTTCCTATACCCACGGGGCCTATCTCTACACGAGCACAGACTTGCCATTTTGAGAATGAGTCAAGTTATGGAAAACATTTACTTGCCAGTGTCCTAGAATTTTCCATCTCTTCCTCAATATGCGACCATTTCTTTTCCGAAATGGCCAAATACTATCGCTGGGCGAGTATCCGTCGGCAGATGTATAACCTTTTGCAGTTGGGCCTAGCTCAGCTCTTTCGTTTCAACGGTTACTATCAAAAGTCAGACATCCTTAGATTTTCGCTCATCCACTAAGGAAACAGTACATTCATTAAGGAAAAGGAAAGTACATGAGGCTTGGAATTACCCTAAAATTCCATAGATAAGAGCGGGTGAACCTACCG